GCTGAGCCCGGCCCGGCTGGGGGACAAGGGACAGCGGTGGAAGAGCCTTTTGGGAACGGGGGAATGCATCCCAGCTCCTGCCTGAGTTTTAGCTCTGGCTTCTCATCAGCCTGGGTGGGTGTCCCGTGGGTTGGGAGGTTTTGCTGGAGCCGGGACATAGGGGGTTCCTACCTGTTTTGCTGAAGGCTGCCACCTGAGATTTGTTTTAGCTGCTTGCACGGGGATAAACTGTTCTGATTTACCTCTGGCACGGCTGTGCACTGAGATGAGTAATCTGTTTTCTTAAGGCTTTTTTTTTTTATTATTTATTTATTTATTWTTTTYTCACTCCTGTCCTTGGGCAAGTGTTGTTCTGGGTCGCTCCCTGAGCGCTCAGATCCTCTTGTTAATCTGTAATTTTGATTATTGCTGAGGAGAGGGAGCAAATATTTTCCTCTGCAAATTGCCCTCTTCTCTTTCCAAAGACWTAACAGAGAAACTTCCTATGGCCAGGGTGTTACTTTTAGGAAATTCGCTGAAGGGCTTCTCTAACGCTAGAAATAATGAGGAATAATTAAAACTCCTCTGGTGCTGCCAAAATCCCGGAAAATTCCCTGCCCCCTTCCCCTCCTGATGCCCCAGCCCTGACCAGTCTTCCTGTGTTTGTTTACCAWCTTGCTGAGGATTTAACAGTCTGGGGTGTCCATTGTCAGCAGAGTTGAAAGTTTTGCTGTTGCTTGGACAGAGTAAAAAAAAAAAAAAAGATTCAGAGCCTGGCATAGCTTCATCAGAGAGTGGCAAAGACAGGCCAGCCAAAGCTTTCCAAGGAAGATGTATTAAAAAGCAGATCTGTCTTCAAATTAGCTGTTGGTTATGGAAATGGAGTTACAACAAGTGCATGGGTTCATTTTGGTGCTGGCCTTGATGTGGTTGGTTCGTAGCTGCAGATGTGTGGAGATATCTGCCAGGGCTGCAGATCCCACATTATTTAGTTTAGGAGATCTTGTTTGTGAGGGAAAACCCCATCATTATCGTGGGTGAAACACAGAGGAGGTGGCAGAGCCTGAGGGACAGGCTGTCCCTGCAGGGCCATCCCCAGTGAAGTGTTTTTCCAGGAACACAGCCCTGTTTCCACAGGTCAGACTCATCCTTTGAGCCTGCAAGGTGTGCTCGGTGGGGCTCCAGCCAGGCAGTGCCCCTGAGGGCTGGGACCCAAATATTCGCTCACTGAATAGATCTTATCAAGCTCTTTCTTCTGCCTGATTCCCATTTCTCCTTTCTTCTGCCCATGCAAATTACCCAGCATGGGATTTTTCGGTATTTCATCCCAGTGCAGAGGCATTTGCCATTCCCCTACCACCCTTATCTCCCCTTGCAGCCAGGCCCTAYGTGGTTTCTCAAAGCCAGAACCCTTTGATTTTGGTTTGGTGTTTTCCCTTTTGGCTTTGGACGCTCTGGAATCTGGTGGAAACATCCACCTGAGCGAGGTCTCACTTCAAAAACATCCTGAGCATGGCTGYTCCAAGGAGGTTTCCTACCACTTTCTTCTCTCTTCCTTTCCTGGAAGATCACGAGACACAAATTTGGCAATTTAAGTCATTGCTGACTTCATTCCCTGGTTGACCTTGAACTCCCTTAACCCCAGCAGAAACCTCACCAAGGGCTGGGCTTAAGGGAGTTCCTCCCACCCCCTTAGGCTTAGGCTTAGGCTGGAAACCCTGGGTCTAGCAGGAAAAATAAACCACAACTAATAAATAAACGTGGCCAACAGCCAAAGGCAGAGCGAGGGAAGGTGCAAAATGAGCCAAAATTCAGCCAGGAGGCAACAGGAGTGTTTGGGGCAGCAGGGCAGGAGTGTCTTTGCCCATCAGGTAGGGCAGAAGGGAACCCATCCCTGCTCTTCCCCACTGTCACCACCCCTGGGTGCCACCAACCCGTGCTGCCACCAGCAGCAGCCTGCTGATACAACTGCATTTCAGTGAAACACGCTGATACAAGAGGGAATTTCCATCTGAATTCCTCCTCCTCGAGTTTCTGCCCCGGGTCTTGCAGTAAACACAGTCTCTGTGGGGAGAGGGGGCTGAGAGATGGGACTCAGAGCTGTTCTCACAGCTTCTTGCCCGAGAGTGCCACTGCTTTCCAGACTGGCACTGCTGGTGAGTCAGCTGGCCAGGCTGATGTCACTTCCAAGAAGAAAAAAAAAACAGCTCTGTTTTGGGGTTTGAGGTTTTGTTGTTGTTATTTATTATTTTTTAAATAAAATTCTCTTTCAGCAAAGACTCAAGGAGCTGGGGGGGAGCTAAGGTCCTCCTTACCAGAGGACAGTCCTCCTCCCAAAATCAGAGAGAGGACAGGAAAGGAGAGCTGTTGGCAGCAGAGCCAGCGTGAAGCTGGCTGTGTTTGAGAAGTTTGCACGYGTGGAGCACTCAGCCTGCTCACATTGCTGCTAGCAAAGATTATTTTCTGTTCATAGCAGAGGTTTGTCTCCTGTGGGACAGAGGAAGTGTTCAGCCAGTGGAAAGCTCCTGAGTGAGACTGAAATACCAATTGCTCATCCTGGGGCAGCTCAGCCTTGCAGTTTTTGGTGTCCAGCTCTAGGTCTGAGTGTCCCAAGGCTGATCTGGGGCTGGCAGGCATCACCCTCCACCTGCCCCACCTGCCTGTGCACAGAGACCACGTTGTGTGCAAGGGTTGGTGCTGTGATCAGCAGAGGAGAAAAAGCCAGCTCTGAGTAAACAGTAATTAAATCTCACAGGGATGTGGCTGCATGGACAAGGTGTCCTTTGGTGCTGATGTGACAGCACTTAGGGATGGGTTTGACAACATCTGAATGCTCCAAAAGCTGGTGGGAGRCAAGGAGCAGCCATCCCAGCAAGGGCTGGGACAAGGATTCCCCTTTTCAGCACCCTGSCCTTGCATTCTTCCCACATCCAGGAAAGCATCTCACAGCCTTCCCACCCATGGCTGGATTCCTGTTTAGGTCKGGATAGAATAAAATAAACTTGTGAGCTATTCCATCCCTGGGGGAAATGGGGATATCCTGGTCAGCTTGGACCACCCCAGAGCTGCTTGGGCCACCACCTCAGCCTGGCCTTTGTGCCGGGGTTACTCCTCTGAATGCATCAACCTTYGATTTCTGTCATAAAACATTTGCTKCTCTAAAAACTTGTTGAAWGCTGCACTTCGCCAAAATCCACAATGACAACTTTTTGCTGTGAGAGTGAGAACCAAAGTTTACACTCTCTCTGTTATGGGGTCCTTATTTTACCAGTCAGTATTTGGAAAATACTCCGGGAATGATGTCTGTGGCCTCTGGGGATGGAGAATGAGGAGTTTGCTGAAACCTCTCTGCCTTCTTTCCTTTGGCAAACATTCTCCTTCCCTCCCTTCCTCCACGTCCCCCAGCCCTTTTTTGTCCCATCACAATGCCTATATATGTATATGTCAGTGTRTATGAGGCCCCAAAGCTGCAAAGCACCCCTTTTCCCCTTTCCACACCGAAAACCCAGCCAAACCTCTGTTAATTGCACTTTATTTCATTTCTATCACCAGGAAAGCCTGCCTGAATTGACAGCAAAGTGTTGYGCTCAGCTTTGCAGGATCAAGCTCTGGGCTGGACCTTGCTGAAGCTGGATGGGRGMTAAAGCCTGAGGCTGAATTTCTAAYGTGTCCCCTCRTTTCCCTGCAGCCCGGGGCAGCCTCCAGCCGTGGTCACAGGGTGTCATCGCAGTGGTYGTGTTCCTGGTCCTGGTGGCCATCGCTTTCGTGGTGAACAGGTTCTGGTGCAAGGATAAAGTGTAAGTGTGGGGGTTTGGCTTGGGCTGAGCTGCCTTGGCACGTGTGGCTTCCAGCAGCCTCTGGGCTTGTGCCAGGGCTGGGAACACCGTGCTTGCTGTGCTGGGAGGTGGGTGGGGAGAGCAAAGACTCCCTGCCCTCATCTGCCTGTCCTGGTCTCTGATCCCTGTTACTGATTGCCAGCTCTGAGCTTGCACCGCACAAACCCTGCTGTGAGAGAGGGCTGTGCTGGGAGCAGGGAGCCACAGCATCTGCATTACATGGGAACATGTTCAGGGGGCTGGCCAAGGCTGGTTTTACATGGCTTTGGGGGAGCAGTTCCCATGTGCCTTATATCCATGGGATAATAACCCTGAACCAGTTTTGCTTGCAGACAGAGCCAAGGGGTGAGAACACCGTGACAGGTGCTGGGAGAAGAGGGAGGCAGTGGCAGCACTCTCYACCTGGAGCCCACGGCACAGGCAAATTTTGGTGTCTTTATCCATCCTAAAAAGGCTCTGTGGGATAGGTTACCTCTTGCCATTCAAGCAGTCACAGGCTGCTGCTCCTGCTCAGCCAAGCAAGGCCAGCTGGCCAAATTACACTAACCTGATCTTGAATCTGAGCCCAAAGGCAGCAGGGGATGGAGATCAAAAGCACCCCACACCTGTTTCCTGGTTCCTCTGCACTGGTGTGGTCACTTTGAGCTTTAGGCTTTGCACCCAGGGGTGCTGCAGTCTTCTTGCACCTCTCCAGGCTGAGGGAGTGGGGAATTGAGGTGTACTCTGATGCTCAGCAGGTCAGCTTTAGCCCCAGGCGTATTTAAAGTGGGTCCCTTTGGGATTCATTCCAGGCCCATGCATTACACAATGTGTATGTATACAAATATATATTTATATGTCTGGTTTGCTGCTGTAGCCTTTGTTTCCCAAAGAGGAGCCTTTGTCCTCACACTGAAGGAGCCCCCAGCCCATGGAGTGGGGCAGGGATGGTGTTCCCACTGCTGCCCATGCCTGGCTGCCTTTTCCCAGCCTGGAGGCAGAGGATGCTGAGGAGGGCTTGAGGAGGGACTGTGCCTTGTTTTAATTAATCTGGCCTTTCTTCAGAAGAGCAGGAGCGAGGCTTGGCAGCCTGGAGCCCTGCCAGCTCTGYGCTGTCACCGTGACAGCAGCGCTCAGCTCCAGCCCTGCCTGCCTATGCCAGGCTGTTCCTTGGAGAAGCCTCAAATTGCCCTTGGGCAAGTGCTGGAGGAGGCAGGAATGTACTCACAGGGTGGATCTGCTCTCACCCCCTGCACCTAAATCCCCCTGTCGCTGCTCAGGCTGCAGGCTTGCCCTGGAGCTGAGMTTTTGGAGCCTGGCTGAGGTTGGACACTCCATCTATGCCCAGTGGTTCCTTCTGCAAGGCTCACTTTTGAGGGAGAGCAGCTCAGTTCTGCTCRCACAGAYGTGCACAAGGAYAGCCCTGTGCCAGGGCTGCAGCACCAGCAGAGCCTTGACTGCTCTCTCCGTGTCCCTCAGGATCACAGGGGACTATTTTGCAACSGACTGGAAAAACCAGTTAGAGGGAGAAAACAAATTGACATATTGACAATGAGTCCTGCTGTCTGCCAGCACCGTGCTGGGAGTCACAGCTGCAGGGACAGGGGCTGGCACTTGGCATGGTCCCTGTGAACCTGCAGTGAGGGTGTTTCTCCCTGTCCTGGTCCTGCTGGGCTCAGCTGGGTGTCCAGGGACAGAGCCACCTCTTTATTGTCCCTTATCATCTCTCCAGTGCCAGATCTGCCATCACCATCGAGGGCTGCTCCCCAGCACGGCTCCTTTGCTGTTCTGTCTCAGCTCCTCTCTTCTCTCCCACAGGGAAAATGTCGAGAACGTGGTGAGTGTGGAGGACAAGCCCGATGCTGTCACGTCCAATGGCCACGAAGGGAGATACCTATCGGCTGCAGCTGATTTCAGGTGAATGYCCTGCTCAGAGCTCCTCCCAAGGCTGCCAGGCTCTGTTCCATSCCCCTGGGGACAGCTCAGACATGCAGAGCTGTGGTCTCACCCACTCAGGCTCTCACACATTCCCTTCACCTGCTTTTTGGGGTTTTATCCTTTCCAGGGGCTAAGCAGAAGGCAGTGAGGGGTTATCCCCTTCTTCCTCATTTCTCCCCATCCCTGCAGTTGAGCCCCTTGATCCATCCACAACCTCACAACCTGCCAYGCCACATTCTTCTTATGCTGCATCACAGCTTTCCAACAGAGGGAACCACCAAAAGTGACCACAAAGATGGTGACAGTCAAAACAGCCCTCACTGAAAATGAGAGCAATTCCCAGCCCCTCCTGCACTGCCCACCCCACTCCTCACTCACCAGCAGGGTCAGGACCCCCGTGGTGCCTTTGGGGAGGCAGATTTTGCTGGGAGAGGGCTCAGCACGGTGCTTCTCCCTCTTGATGCAGGTCCAAAGAGAACCAGCACGCCTACGAGAACCCCGTGGAGCCCGAGGAGAAGGTGATCACCACGGCCATGTAGCAGCTCCCAGCAGCCGCCCTCCTCYTCCTCTCCATTCGCTTCCCGCTGTGGCGATGGGCATTTCCACACAGACCCTCTGCCCTGGCACCCCCGTGTGTGAGGGGCCCTGACCTCTCCACAGCACCACCACCTCCTGATCTTTTCCTTTCCCACCCGTGGGACACTCTGCTGTCTCCAGGATCCACATGGTCCCCAGGAGAGGTCTGGAGGTGCCACCTCTCCTGCCTGGTGGTCACCCCACCTGGTTGGTGAGGTTGATGTCCCAAGTCCCAGGGGGGTGTTGAGCTGTTCAAGACACAGAGAGGGGATCCTGCTGGGTGCCTGGGACCTCCCCAGACCCACAGCTGCCCTCCAGGGAGCTGCTGATGGAAAACGTGCTCTTTTCTCCCCAGTTCACCCTCCTTTTTATGACCTACACCATGCATTTTAATGTCATAACAAACCTTCCCCCTGTACATATCTTCCCAGTGAGCAATAAAGAGAATTGTTGCCTATGACAGCAAAGAGGGTCATTCTGCTCATCAGCCAAAGGATTTYTGGCATCTCTCAGCTCTCCCAGCCTCTGGGCTGTTGGGACAATGAAGGACAGCAKGGAATGCTCCAGAGTCTCCAAGGGACATAAATGGAGGTGAGAGCATCGCTCCCCTCCATTTGCCAGGTGGGGTAACTGAGGCATGAAAACAACCCAGCACTTCCAAATGCTGCTTCATGGCTGAAAGGCAGCGCTCCCTGAATCCCACTGACCACAGAGTGCTGCCCTACAGCCAACTGGGGGCCATTCCCAGAAATGAGAACGGCCGTCACTCACCAATGGTGACCAAAAGTGACCAGGGGCTGCTCTGGGCAGTGCTGCCTGTCCTGGGACAGCTGGCCATAGTGCACCCTGCTGCCAGGCTGCTCATTAACCAGGCTCTGCCTTTTGTTGTGCTGGGGACAGGGCCAGGGCCACCATGGGAACAACGAGCGTTTCTAAGCYGTGGCATTTGGAGATTGGCATGAAACACTTCTTATGCCTCATCCTGGAACATGAGCTACTCCAGGAACATGCAGGGTCCTCTTTCTGACCACCCAGGAAAGGATTAAGGGACTCTGCAATCAAGGGCAGCCCAGCTGGAGCAGCACTGGGATGGGAGGTTTATAAGAGGGGCATTTTTGGCAGCCCCTGGTTTTGGGGGCCTTTAGGGCTCTGCTGTGCACTTCCCACAGGTGAAGCTGCTGATGTCCCTAGTGGTGACACAAAAATCCAGGCAGGAGCCTTCCAGTAACAGACCCACCTTGAAAGGCATTTTCCCTAGAGCTCCAGGTAGGTGAGTATTTAAAAAATGCCATCAAAGACTTGGCATTGAGAAATCACAGCTCACGTTGAGAAATCACATGGGAGTAGAAGAAAACAGGCAGAAGGGTTAGAAGGGTCAAGCTCTCAGATGTGGAGGCAGGATGGCTGCATCCCCAGCATCACATCAGAGTTATTTCCATCTACCACCCTCCCTTGGGCAGCTGGAGGCTGGGCCAGCCCCAGGGTGGCTCCCAGATCTCCCTGCTCGTGCTCCTGATGGATGCTGCTCCCCTGATTTTCCTCTCCCAGGTGCCAAACGTCACATGGGTTTGGAAAAAAAACAAGCTCCCCAAGGTTCAGTGGTACTGCTGCCCTCAGCAGGGTTTAAGATTAGTCATTGCCTGTTCCTGCCCCGTCAGCACTTGGGCTGGGGGTGTGGTGAGAGGAAGGGAACCCATTAATTTTTTACCTCTCTGTTGCAAAAGAAGTTAGCAGTGACACCCTCCTAATGAGTAACAGCAGGAGTTTGTTCCCTGCCCTGTGCACACCGTGAGTGCGTGACGAACGCCCGCGCTGCTCACCCTGCAGTGCCTGAGTGTTTGGGGTGGAGGTGTTTGGGGTGGAGGTGTGCTGAGGGCTCAGCAGGTCTCAGTGTCCCTATCCCCATGGATCCCTGCCGTGGCTGTAGGTCTGAGCAAGGAGCAGGATGGGGTTTTGCTGCTGGGCTTGCCCAGGAACTTCCATTCTTGCTTTTCTCACAACCAGTGCCCTTTTGGAGCTGACTTCCCTGGGGAAAACACCTTGTGAAAGAGCCAGTGCTGTGTCCTAGCAGGGTCTCACCTCCACACTGTCCATGGTGCTGTCCTGCCTCAGTTTCCCTTGCCTGGGAAGCACAAGCCGGGGCTGACTGAAGCTGCCTTCCCACGAGCTGTGCAGCAGACTCGCAGATGCTTCTCGGTGTGATCCTAAAAAGAACAAAAGGGAGCGAGCRTAAATGAAATTTATTGTTGGAAAATCTTAATTAGATTTTAAGCCCCAAAGGGAGAAAAGTGAGGTATTATCTGACACAGCTAATGAGTGTTAAGGGTCCTTTGTTATATTTCTTGTTTACCTTTCTGTACTGGCTGATAGGGCCCAGATCCTCGCCTGTACTGCCATAATTAGGATATCTCATCTCTTGCTGATAGGGTCGGGATGCTCTTTAAAGCACAATGCTGTCTCATCCCTCCCTGCCAGGGTGAGCGTGATTGGGAAGACAACTTCTGGCATGTCAGTGCTGGTGCCTTCCACACCACCCTTCGAGCTGGGGAATGTCCTCCAGGGCCAGGGCTSTACCTGAGAGCCCCCAGGTGATGGGGACACCTCCCACAGCCTTGTTGACCTCTCTGAAGGGCCCTGAGCCCATTTGCCTGAGGGACAAATCCTCCTCAAGCCTCTCTCCATGGAGCATGGAGGGATGAAGATGTCCTTCATAAGCCACCCCACACCCACCAGTGAAGGGAAAGGATACCATGGGTGCTCCATCCTCCCCCACAGCCCATAATGACATTATCTCTGCAGATTTGGGCTTCAGGAAGATATTTAGGGTTGGGTTCTGCTGTAGACAGGATAGTCTCATTTTGGGCAGAAGATATTCAGGATGGTATTTTTTACATTCCCACCTGGTCCCAAGAAGTATCACAGCTTTTCTTTGTGACCTAGAAAGGTGCAACCCATCGCTTGGACCCACAGATAATGGGGTATCTTGTTGAAATATCTGATGTTCCCCCAATCTCTCCTGAGGCTCTGTAGCTATGGGGRATTGAAATGTTTCTGTCCCAGATGCAGTTACAACCCTGGAGCAGTTTGGGCAGGTGGACACCTACCACATAAATTATCCCAAGGTGATTTAATTAAAGACCTGCTGTATTTAGGATAACTGCTGCAGGCCCCAGCAGTGYAGCCTGGGGTTTATACCCTGGCACCGGGCACCTTGACACCCAGAGGTGTGATTTGGATCTCCAGAGGTGAAAAGGGAGCWTTTCCCACCATCCTGGTCCTTTGGGATGGTCCTTTGGGTGGGGAAGAAGCCCAGCCACCCAGGTGGAAGCCRGGAGCACAGCACCGAGGGGTGGCTGTGTGTGGGCAAGGGGGCTGCAAAGTTTTTGGTCTCGATTCAAGCCTCTGAAAGCCAGAAGTAAAATACCATCCATTGTTGGTTTATACACCCGTAGTAGCCAAACAAACATCCCCCGAGCCTGTCCTTATCACTTTATTACACCTGCTAGAGTGAATAGATTAAAGAGGATGGGGGAAGGGGGAGAAARCTGAAGAATCCAGCAGAAAAACTGGGTTTTGGGATTGTTAATTATTCTCTGGGGTCTCTAATCTTTAACTGGCAAACAGCATCACTAACTGTCTTAAAGCCCCTCCTGGAACATCCTGATAATAAGCCATCTGCATGAAGGCACCCCGTTATCTGCCCTCCTCCAGCCGCCTGTGACATGGCTGGAGTGGGAGATAATGAATGTGTGGTGTGTAATAACGACACGTCATTCATGATTATCGGCCTGATACCCAACCTTTTAGCTCCATTGTTTGTGCTTAAAAAAAAAAAAAAGGAAAAAATAAAAGAGAGAAAATAAAAAGGAGAAGGGAAAGAAGAAAAAGGGGAAATTTTGGTGTTATGGATTGTCCCGCGGTCCCCGAAGTGTCTCCCTGCCAAAGGGGCTGGCTCTCGCAGCATCTCCCAGAGGGTTTGCTGGTGCTGGGGAAGGACTCGCCCCTGGATTGGCGGCTGCCGTAGCCATGGAGATGGAGGAGAGAGCTGAGACAGCGCAGAAATGTCACAGCCTGGCAGGGAGACACTCGGGGCGAACTTGSGGGCGATTAGATCTGCTGGCTGGCTGCTGCCCGGCTCCTCGCAGCGCTGCCCTGCTGCTCTCCCAACCGCCCGCCGGTGGCTTGGCACAGGAGGTTATCTTGTACACGCTGCTGTCCAGAAACTGCCACCCTCTGAAGGTGGGGGAGATGTTTGTGCTGCTGGGTTTGACCTGGCTAAGCTGAAAAGTGGAAGAATTTTCTCCTGGTTGCTGCCGCTTTAGGGCTTTATGGTGTGTTGGCACTGCAAGACCTTCCCTCAAAAGCTCTGGTTCTTCAAATTGCAAACCCAGTTTAAGCATGATTCTTAACAGGAACAGATTTTAAAGTGTTTGGCTCAGGTTACCTCAATTATTGTCAGATCTGCCTGGAATAACAATCCAATTTTTTTGCATCCAAAATGGGAGCAGTTTCTCCCCTCTTTCCCGAGCAGATCCCCTCGGCTGGATGTGGTTGGGGTTTGGCCATTCGTAAGGATTGGAAGCACTCCAAATGAGCAGCCTTTGTCATGGCAGTGAATAGGCTGATGGCCCCAAAAACACAGGGCATTGTACAGATCATGGGGTGGCAGCAGATGGGGGATCCTACCCCCATTTCCAAACCAGAAGGTGCTGTAGTGACACCTGTAAGTGCCACCTTTAAGTGCCACCGGAGTGAGTCTTTGTGGCCAAGCACACCTGAAGTTCATTTCTTGGACCACCTGCTGGAGAATAGATGAGCAGAGCTTCAAGGTGTTTTGTTTGTTCCCAAATGGGCACCTGAAATATCTGACAAAGAGGATTTTTCAGTAATGAAAATGTGTTCCCAAGCCACTGCCCTCTGAAGGCCTTGCTGTGCTGGAGCTGGGGAGGGCAGGAGGGTCTGACCTGTCAGAACTGAACCCACAAGCGGTGCCAGGGTGGGATACTGGCATCAACACAACTCCAGTCTCCTTCTGGAGGGAAAAGGAGAGGGCTGGGAGAAGATGAGTTTGGTCTCTTTGCAAAATAAACACCAGCTGCACCTTGTCGGTTCCTCTCAGCACCCCTGTCCCTTCAGGTGCCCAAACAAAGGTCTGSATCCAGCCTGAGGAGAGGTTTGCCTCTCAAACTGAGGATGCAGCAGGCAGCTGAGGTGGGGAGCAGGAGGGATGCAGGAGTTGAGGCAGATGGGGAGATGCTCAGATTTGGCTGTCCTGATCTGGCCATCGGCAGACAGACAGACAGACAGACAGGGATTGGATTCATTGGCACGTGATAATTCTGGTGAGTGAGAGCTACATGTGCAGACTTTGGTGCCTCAGTTTCCCCTGATGCCCGCTGAGTGCCCAGGCCCCCGCAGTGACAAACTCCCCCTGGGCTGTGGGCGATGGCACCGACACGCTGGGGACCGTGACAGCAGWGCCTGCTCCGCTGAGGGTGGGGACAGGGATGTCCCCAGGGACAGGACACATCATCTGCCTTGCTGGGCCTGGCMGTGCTCCCTGCCCAGCCCAGGGGGTTTCAGCAGGGACCAGCGAGGACTTTTCCYGGGTCTCCCACTGCCACCTAGTGATCCTTTTCACATCCCGGACCTGCAGCTCATCCCATGGTCCGCTTGGCTGGTGCTGGGGACAGGCTGGTGCTGGGGACAGTGTGTGTGCCCCCACAACACACCCCATGCCAGGGCCAGGGCTCACCTGCACCCCTTGGGCAGCCCACTCATGCCCTGAGCCCACTCGTGACCTGAGCAGTCAGTTCTCAGCCTCTGCAGAGCAGCSTTTGAGGCAGACTCGTGCTTCCTCTTGGTGCTTGTTTGATTTTGCAAGCTGATTTTTTTCCTACCAACAGGACTTCTTTGTGTGTGGTGTGTGCTTCTGTTTTGCTTTGCTTGACTACAGATAATTTCAGTTGTTTCCTTGTCCTGGAAGTCCAAAGTGAGGGCTTGGAGTGAGATGGTGTGGGATGGGTGGAAAAGGCTCCTCAGGCTCAAAAGGGCACAACCATGGAAACAGCGTTTGTGGCTCATCAAAACACTGACATGGCTGCACCCTTGGGCACAGCCTTGCCACTGGCCTGCTGGGCCACCAAATGCAAAGGAAGCCCAAGCCATGCTTGGAGATCATCCCCACAAGGCTTTATTCTCATTTCAGGGTGGAGAACAAGGCTGATCACTGTTTCCAGTGTGCCAAGCGCTTCCTCCAGGTGTGGCACGTTCCTGTGCTGCTCCTGAGCACTCTCAGCTCAAGGAAGTTCAGGGCTGGGGCAGGAAAGAACCGCAGGGGTTTATGTCCATAATGATGGATGCAGTGCCAGCCCTGGGGATTATTTGTAGGGTGGTGGTGGGGATGCAATGGGGCTGCTGGAGGAGCCTGCCCAGCCCGGCACACCCAGCTGCAGGCAGGGAAGGGACCCTGWGCTGGGACAGCGCCCAGGATTTACACATCCATGCAAACCGTGCTGGGTGTGTTCACTGCCAAGCCCAGGTGGGGACCTGACAACAGGACAAAGCCATGGGCATGTGACAGAAATCCTGTCAGGGATTGTTTGAGGGCAGGTTGGACATGAGGAGATGAGCAGGACATGGAGGATGCSGGTGGAGGTGAAGGATGAGCCACAGCCATGGCATGGAACCCCCGAGCAGTGCTGCTCCCGTGCCAGGAGGGGCCCTGGACCTGCTGGGTTTGGTGTTTGTGGGCTCAGTGAACCCCCTGGACAGCGGCAGGACAGGGGTTAATGCAGGAGAGGACCATTGTGGGTCTGTTTGGTGCTCCCCTCTGAATCCTCTGGYTGGAGAGTGTCCCTTGGGAGAGCTCCTGGTGCTCTGTGGGATCAGTGGATCCTCCTCAGCTGCAGGTGAATCCCATTGCTGGACCTGAGCACGATCTGCTGTCTCATGATGGGAAGCTTGGACGGGTCTGGGAGGAGCTCGAAGCGCAGCAGAGTCAAGGCCAGAGCCACTTTCATCTCRTTCATGGCAAACTGCTGCCCAATGCAGTTCCTGGGGACAGGTGACAAATGCTCTGACTGCTGCCTTTGTCCCTSACCAACCCCCATCTTGGAGCTGCTGTGAGGACAGCACCACATCTTATCTACAAAGATTCACCCAGCTCTGTAGTGGGGTATTGCTAATATTCATTAATAAATATTGAAAAGAGATATGAGATTGAGAGAACAGGAAGTTCACTTCACCAGGAAGTGCAGGGAGAATGCAGCTARAAGCCCTTGATGCCTTTGGATTTCAGCTTCTGTATTTTTCATGTGTCTGTAACCCTGTCATTCTTTAGTGTATAACTCCATATTCCACATACAGTGCTGAGCWACTGTTCTCCCATTTTCAGATAAAACAATTTCTCTCTAGGCCCAAAACTCAAGGACACCTCACTGTCCCAGGTCTCAGGATATGTAGATAACAGTGAATTTGGGGGAGCAAACCTGGAGTAAATGACTTAATTACCTGAAACTGTAATTGTAGGATTAACCCCCAATATGCAAATGGACAAAACGTATAAAATGTGAAAAACCTGTAACCAATTGTCCATCTTGGGTGGGCTGTGACTGCCCTAAATGTRCCTGAAGACCCTTCAATAAATAACTGCTTTTTATTCTCTTAATTTTGTCTAACCTCTGTTTTAGGTAGCCAGATTTTAGGCATCACCCAGACACCTCCCAAAGGTTATTTCTGTCTCTGTGTGGTGATCCTCTTGCAAATTTCTGAGACCTCAGCGTCCTTCATGTGTCTGTTGACACAGCATGGGAACCACAGAGAGGTGTTCCCAGTGCAGGMAAGAGAAAATGTAAACATCTCCACAAAGCCACAAGAAAAATGTGTGAAATCCTACAGTGACCACAGAGCTTGGGGTGTGGGACGTGCCCTGGAGCTGACAGAGCATGGAAATCCTCTTATGGGAGATGCTGTAAAGGGGGATCCTGTTACGGAAAGCCTGCTTGAGTTGGCCAAGCCAGYTTGGCTCATGGAAACTGAGGGAGGATGAGCTTTAGGAACCTGACTCTGAGCTAGGCCTCTTGTGCAAGGCAGTCTGATGGGAAGGAGAGGGATAAAGGATCTCCCACCTGGATCCAGCAGAGAAAGGCAGGAAAGCGTGGGAGTGCCTCTGTGTGGAGTTCTCTGGAGAAAACCTCAGGGGATCAAAAACCTGTAGGAGCAACAAAGACTGTTGGTCAGTGTTTGRTCTGATATGAGCAGCACCAGATTCTTCCCTGGTCCCCAACTTAGGGCTGGATGTGGCCTCTGCTGCTCCTGGGGGAGCTGCAGGTGACAGTCATTGCTCTACAAAGTCACTGGTGGATCTTTCCCTTGGAGATGATCTCCAGGTCACCCATTACAATGCCCAGGATGCTGCAGGTRTTTTGTCATCTGTGGCAGCAATGGTCAAGTTGGACTCCCTCCTTTCCAGAGATGCCTGATTYTCTCTAGACAGCCACTAGAGAGAGGCAGCTGGGCACCTTCCTTTGAATTTTCCAGTTATTTCTTGAAACCTCTAAAATACCATCTTCAAATCGCTCACTTCCTGGAGGGTTTGGGACTTTTACCATTCTGAGATCTAAGTGAGTGCAGGGCAGCTGAAAGCAGTCAGAGCATCTCTGTGTCACCATGCACAAAGAGAGCCCATTGAGCAGCCTTTCCCAGGACTTTGTCACSTCCAAAGCCTTTGGGGTGTTTAGCACCCAAAGATTAAACTTTGCATTTAGATATGGACTGTTGGAATGACAAGGGAAAAGAAAAAACCATAGCAGGGAGGCACAGGATGCCTTGATCAAGGGAAATGGATGTCCTGAGCTCAGAGATCATCTTCCCTTTGTTGTTACAAATGTGAAATACCTCAGGGTGTTCCCAGACATCCCGGTTCCTGTGAATGGCAAATATGTTCAGTGCAACCAGGCAGCCTGTGAAAGAAAAGTGGGAAAAAGCTCATGACACCTCGGAGTGAAGATGTAGGAGAGATGTTTTTGGGTGCTCTCCCTCCCTGGGCTCTGCAGAGCTCCTGCAGCAGATCTGACAGGGWTCTCCTGAAAACCTCACACAAACAAAGCAATGGCCTCAGAGCTGGGTCCCTTTTTCATGTCAGAGCATCGCTTTGGCTTGGCCAGAACAACATTCCACAAGTCCCCTGTGAGCTCTGTGAACACCCCAGCACCCTGGAAYGTGTCCCTGGACTGTCTGGCCGTCCTTTCCATGCTCACTGTGGCAGCAAGCTGTGGTAGCTCCRTACAGCTACAGGAGAGAGAAATGGGGTGAGAGACCCTTCAGGGCCTCCACAAAGACTGAGGAGCCCTGCTTGTCGCAGACAAGAGCAGGAGGATGAACAAACCCAACAGACCTGCTGGCAAGCTGCGGCCATCAGGAAATGTGATGGGCTTGGAGAGCTGTCGGGACACCGAAGGAACCGGAGGGAACAGGCGCAGGCTCTCCTTGAGGCACATGGTGGTGTAGGTCATCTTCCCGAGGTCCTCCCTGAAAACAGACTTGCTGAGGGTGCACTCAATCCCTTTGACAATGTCACTGATGAAGATAAGAAGCAGTGCTGGCCCCAGTACGGATCCCTGACCTCTGCCCTCTGGGGATGCCACCTTCCAAAAATTCCTCAACCACCAAATAATCCATCCATCAAATCCATCTCTCCAATTGAGAGGGAAGGATGTTAGGGGAGGACTATATCAAAGGCCTTAAAGGGTAAATGGAAAGAAATCAAGATAAAGGAATAAGAAGCCCTAGCTCACCACTCAATGGTGTCCCTGTCCCCCAGGATGCCCTGGATCTCCTCCCTGCAGCGCTGCTGGTGCTCAGGGTGCAGTGACATGCAGTACARGAGCCAGGAGATGCCACTGGCYGTGGTATCRTGRCCCTCAAACATGAARGTGTCCACCTCAGCACGCAGGTCCTCATCGGACAGTCCAACTCCATTTGCATCCTAAGAAAGAGAGGAGCATATAATTCCTAAGCACACAGGTCTTTTATTTTTATAAGGTATAAAAGGTATGATTTGGGGTCTCTTGTGCTCCCCTTGTTGTGCTGATGCACCCTTGGAGGCACACAGGTGTGTTCTTTATCATTTTATATGATCATTTCAAACATTCACCTTGCTACAAAGAAGAATGTCCAGAAAATCCAGGTGCCTCTTCTTCTGGATCTTGTCAAGTTCTTCCTCATTGGAGAGCTGTGCTTTTCTTTCTTGTATTACCTTATCTGCACAGAGGGGTGATCAGTTACTCTGCCCCTCCAGAGCACCCCCCTGTACTTGACCTCTCGGTCATCAGCTGGACTCTGTTTAATGTGTAACCCTSTGGCCAGTCCATGCTGCAACCCTGCCCTGAGCCACTCCAGGGACAAGTGGGGGAGAGGTTCAGCTGGGAGACAGGGGAGAAAGGGGCAGCAATACCTGTRTGGGTGTGGGCCAGCTTGCAGGCATCCTGGAACTCACGGCCTTTGCGAGTCAGGTCGTAGAAGACATCCGTGATGGAAAAAGTCCGGATTCTATCACTCACAAGGAAGCTCAGGTCATAAACAGCTTTAATATAATAGTGGGTGTTGCTGTAAGGAGGCAGAGGATGGGGCTGGTGTTAGCAAAATGAGTSGTGAAACAGGAGCACAGGCTTTCCCAGGGTGTGGAAATTCAGGCACTGACCTCTGAGTCTGGCAGTCGGAATTAAAGCTGAAGGCACATTTCAGGATGCTGTCCAGTGTCATCAAGCTGACRTCTTGAAAGAGCTCCACTGACTTCCTCTCTGTGATCCTCTTGTCCCATTTATCCTGGAGATGGAGGGAGGGGCAAGGGAGGACAGGTTACCATCAGTGATCAGGGCATATTTTCCCATCCCTCTTCCCATATCTGCATTGCTAATTACTTCTTCTGCAAGCAGAGGCCTTAGTTCATAATATACTCTGGGAATCTAATCTAACTCTCCTGTGCACATCTTTTTYGAGGCATATCACATCAACCTGTGAAAGGATATTCCTGCAGTTGTTGATTTTATTGGCAAATAAAAGAAAGTTTAAGTGGTATGTCCAAAGGAGCACTGAGGGTGAAGGTGAAGGGAGCAATTTCAGAACTTCATAACTACTCCAAAAGTTAAGAAACTCTAGAAACTGTCTAAGTGCAGTCTCTCTCTCTCACTCATTCACAGATGTGATAATTTTCACTGTTTCACAGCTGGAAGGTACAAGTAGCAGGAGTGGGGATCCTTACCAGCATCACTTTGACTGAGTCTGACATCAGGGTCACGTAAGATTTCAGAACATCGTAATGAAAGGCTGGGGTGATCATCTTGCGGTGCTGGAACCATTTGCTTCCTTCCAAGACCAACAGCCCCTTCCCTGAAGGCACGATAAGCAAAAGCACTATCAGCTCCTGCAGGCTCTGGTCACAACTCTGACATCCTCACCCCTGCTTCTGACTTACCAATCCAGGGGAACACGAATCTGTAGGGTACGCTAGCCTTGGGATCTGTAAAACAGAACAGACATCAGAAATGTATAGATAACTAGTGAATTCCACCTAACAAAACAGAAAATTCGGGATAAATTGATGTTAGATTTCATCCTCTAAGTCACAAGGTGGAATTAATCTCATTTCAATATGTAAAATATTGTACTACTAGAGGCACAGTTCAAAAGTGGTCATCTGCAAACATTACCTCAGTGGACTTGAAAAAACAGAGAAGGTAGAACAAAAAAAATATGTGCAGAAAAGAAATGGCCATGTCAAATTCCAAAACTGAGAACAATGGTTGGGAGTTACTGGGGATGAACCACTCACAGGCATCCTGCTCCACAGAAGTGAGCAGAGAAGATTTAAGATGACCTCTGATAGCCATTGCCATGCCAACTTAACCGGGGTTTGCTGGGAAGCACAAATATTGTGGTGGTAGAAGCCAAAGAAGACAAAAAGGGAGATGTCAATGGAGATGGGAAACTGGAAGGAGCAGGCACATGGTCACTGTTTTGCACRAGAATACAAACTGCTCATGAAACCAGGGGCAAGGCTGGGAGTTTACGAGGAGGAGCAGCAGAGGGATTGCAACAGCTGTGAGGGAAGCTGGCAGAGGGGATGACTCCAAGCAAGTTTCCCATTATTTTCTTGGTAGGAAAGTGTCAAAGACTTCTCAAAAGCAGATGTAGAGACTCACCTGCTCGGCCCAGTATGCTTTTGGCATATTCAGGATGGTGGACAATTAGGGAAGGCAGGACTGGCCCAAACCATCTGGGAAAGGCATAGGGATATTCTTCTGCCCATGACACTAACTGAGGCAGTACGTTTTCAGAACGTATCTGCAATGAGAGTTAATTAATAAAGGGATTAATGAAGGCAGGAAAAGAGGGAGAGCAGAGGCTGAGCCACCTTAGGGCAGCCTGGTCTTGGGGCAATTTGGTGTTGCCCTTGGGAGCTACAGCTGGCATGGGCAATGCCTGGATGTGTGGTGGACAGGCCAGGAGGACCGAGGCTGCCACACCCCTGGTCTCTGATTTCATCAGTGCAAGGTGGGCATGCAGTGTGAAAGCAAAACATCTCCACTCTAGAATGATGAAAATGGCTGCATTAAAACACCCTATTTTTATGGCCATGTCTTCTTCAGTGGCTGTAGGGCAAGACACTCCTACAGGTAGACGGTTTCATGCAGCAAAGAGATGTTTTATGGCTGCTCATATTTAAATAACTTCATGGAAGTCCCATAACTCTATGTTTAAGGACACAGTTGAAAAAAGCATGATTGTTTTTTTCCCAAATGATGCACATCTCACATCCAGGCACMCTCTCCTCCTGCCCTGCAGGAGCCTTGGCACTCCCTGTGCAGACATCCCCTCCTGTAGGAAGGGACAGGACCAGGGGACATCACACCCCATCCAATCCTTCTCATCCTGACTGATMCCTTGCACAGCTGGGACAAACCCGCCCTGGCTGAGCCCAGCTCACTCCTTACCAAGTGATTGTGGCCATGGAGCCAGTGTTTCGGGGGCCCAGGGAATGCCTCCAGAGCTTYGATGAGTTTCTTCCTCTCCTGGTAGAACTGGAGCACCTTCAGCAGCACAAAGATGACACCAAGCAGCACAGACAGCTGCAGGACGATAGCAGAAGGTCTGACTATGTTATCCAGCAGAGACACCATGCTGGTCCGGGATGCCTGGCACTGCCTTCTCCTGCCTGTTTCTTCCCTGTTCCTCTCACTCCTGAGCCAGATGGGGAGCTCAGTGCAGGTAAAAATCCTCTCTCTCCTCTTCTGCTGGAGCTGAGCCTGGTAAGGTGGCGCTGAGAGCAATTTATAGCTGCTGGAACATCACAGCAAACACTGCGTCAGCTCAGCCGGGCTGCCCGTGMTCCCACTCACCCTTTGACCGGCTTTCTGCAGCCTGTGCCTGCAACCTGGATAACAAACAGCCTCTGAACATTTCCTGCTTTCTCTGAACTCCCAGCAGCGCTGCCACACACACTCCCAGTCCTCCATGCCCAGGTGGAGGAAGGCAAAGGAGGAAGGAGGTGAGAGATAGCCAGGCTGGGGYTCCAGCTGTGCTATCCTCAGAGAGTTCAGGAATGGAAATCACTCATCTGCCCACGAGAAGTGAGGAACACAGAGGAGGATCTCACTCTTCTCAGGGGGTGTGCTGGATGGATTCAGCCACCTCCATCTGTACAAGAGTGCTCTGTGTGGCTGCAGCATCACCCAGCTCTGCTGGGCTGTAATTGAGAGAAGGGACCCCGACAGCACACAAGGGATGTGGCCCTGCTCCCCAAGGGCTCCTTCCACAGCCCAGCCAGGACACAAAACTGCTGCTGTCCAGAGGAATCATCATGGTCTGTAGATGACACAGGGAGAGGAAAAGCTGCAGAGCAGTAAAAGGAGCTGCAGCAAGGTTAGGGCACATGATGGGGAGGTGTGATGGAAGGTCATGTTCCTACACCAGTCCTGGTGAGCCCTCTTTCCTCTGCCCACATGGCATCTCACCTCCTCCAAAAAAAGGCTCTGCAGCACTGCATTAACCTCTCCAATGCAGTGCTTGGCTGGGGCCCAGGTAGCACCCTCCTAGGAATCCCTGTGCAGATCCAACTCATCATCTGGACTCACATCCCATAAGCACCGAAGCTTGGAATGGCAATGTGGAGTTGGTGAGATCTTGGGCTGCCTTGTGTGGGTGACTCCCAGGCACATTGCAAAGAGGATGAGTCCCCAGATGGGCTGAAATCACTTCCCATTTGCACACTGGGATATGACAAGAATTAAATCTGTTATCAGCTGTGGGGACTGATAGTCTGATAGGCTGCAACAAACAGCGACTGCTGGACTTTGTGCGTGCTTCTCCTCAATATAACACACTTCTGAGATAAAGGACTTCTGATGTTGGGGCAGTTTCCTTTAGTTTTTGGTCCAAAATATGCCATGTCCCACATTTTCTGCTTGTAGAGTGATTTTGTTTAAAGAAAGCACAGTTTATCTGATGTTCATTGTCATTGCCCTGGTAGGCACCACACGGAGCGGCGTTACCTTTTCACACACTTGGCCATCTTCATGAAAAYGAGTGTCTCTCATTGTGCTGAGACAGCTGGATCTGTGTGAAAGTTCAGAGGAGAGCTAAAGGTTGATCTTTAAAGGCAGAAGGCTGCAATCTGTCAGGTCTGGCAATTTTTAGGGAAGGCTTTGTCTGCAGCCAGAGCACAAGGGACACAGTTTGCCATGACAAACTCTGCTGTGAAGACCTGCAGCACATCCAYAAATCTAATGATGATGTGTAATTGGGCTCCTTACAAGGTCTGCACAAGGAGAGCAGAGAGGTCTGAGGGCTGAGCCTTTCTTTAGTGCCAATGGAGCTGTTTGGAAGCTCCTGTGGCACCTATCCAATCACCAGACCAATCTGGATTTGGCTGGCACCTTTCAGCAATCACATAAATTACAAAAATTACTAAATTCACCCAAAATTTACTAAAATCACCCTAAAAAGTAACGCATAAATACTCCCAAAACCACAGGTGGAGGGGCCTGGCCAGTGGATGGAGTTTCTGGTGCAGTCACAGATGAAACTTCTATAACAACTGAGAAATTCTCTGTAGTGACAGAGTCCCTGGACAGTGGGTTTGACCATGAATAGGGTCAATTTTTACCAAACTGGTTCCCTTATAGTTATAAAATAACCAGTAACAAGTGCTGAGCACAAAGACAAGGGATACAGTTTGTCCTGAAGGTCAAGTGAGAATGTCAAGTGCTGAGTGATATGGAGGGAATATAGGGGATAGAGTGGATAAACCCACATTTATGGGGATTTGGGGCAAAAGTCTGACTTTGGGTGATAGCAAAACTGGGTGCTTCATCCAGCCTCTGCATTCTGTATTTCACTGGTGGAGGGGAGAGAAAAGCCTTTCCCTCTCTCCTGTATTTCAGAGTTTTCRCAGCAAGAGGGGTCATGAACACTCACACCCTGGGGAAGAAAACTCAGGGGTTTTTGAAGGGGAAGAAACCACRAAAGTTGCAAAGGGAAAGTGAAGTTGCTGCAGAGCTGCAAGTGGAGAAAAATTAAAAGGGACAGCACTGTTTGATCATTATTAGGGCCTGGGACAAGGCCAGAACATCTGTCAGCACCAGGAGAATTTACAGCCCTGGTGCTGGAGGGGTCCAGAAGATCTCAGCATGAAAAAGCAGGTACAAGGGTCTCCTGGTGGCCACAGCAGTCTGGGGAGGCTGGCAGGGGGAACAGAAGCTTGGCTTGACCTTTGGGGCATTTGAGGCTGGAGAAACYGCAGCTGGGTGTTAAAGAACACTTGGAATTTTGTCAAACATTTGCAGAGAGCCCCTGGAGGCTTGGCTCGATGCTGTGRATGTCCATGTGATGGCAGTGGGGCCACAACAGGTCAGGCCATCAACACAAAAGCCCACTTACACTGAATAATTTCCATCCCATACCACAACCATGGACACAGCAGGCTGTGGAATTTGCTTTCTGGGTTTTGGGAATTTCTCCACTTGCTTTGGACACCTAAGCAGAAGCAGGGGAGGATCTTCCTCACTGTTGTCATTCATTGAAGAAGAACTGGTTTACTGAGCAGGTGAAATTTAGGTGGCAMAGGGGTATTTTGCCCCAGAGCATGACCTTGCAGCAGCTGCTTTCCCTGGTTGTGCCTGTGTTTATTCAGAGAGGAAGGAGAGTCCAGGCCCATCTGTCCCTGTGTGTTCCTGCAGCACTCYGTGCTGACAGATGAAATGTAGCGGTAATGCCAAAAAAAATAATACCATTTCAAGCTCCCAAACACATGATAGATGAGAAAATCGTGGCAAGAGCCCAGCAAGTGTTGCAGAGCAATGCCAGCTGCCTGGATCCCATCTGATCCACATGTCTCGAGGGTAAATGTGTATCTGGAAGCATTCAATGCAGCTGTATCACAAATATGTCACAATACTTATTTAATTTACAGGGCTGCTTCCAGTGTAAAATTTCCAGTGGAAATTGCTGACATCTGACAGTGAATTTGCCTGGAGAGCAGTGTGGGTTCTGTGCAGGGACTGCATTCCTGGTGCTGTGAGCCAGCTGCTCTCCCTGCTGGTGCTGTCGCTTCCCAAGTGCAGCATCTGAAAAAGTGTCACCACCAAACTGAGACAGGCAGACACCCCTCATGGGACCAGGATGTGGCTACACAGTGTCTGTGGGGAAAGGAATAACTGTGGGAGTCACGGCATCTTTGCTATGCCCCAGTGAGAGAAATCCAAGATGTTTTAAACTGAAAACAAGACTTACCCTCGTTGCACCTCACACAGCCCCTCCCATGAGCTCTTGTTAAAGTAGTGATCTAAAGGTCTGAACRAGGCAGTCCAAGGTCAACCCATCATCTTTGCAATTACCCTTTCTGCAGAAASTAGGGAAGGATTAAAGAATGAGGTGAGCTCTGCAGCTCGCCCTTGACTGTCTTTATTGCTGTGAGCAATACATTCCATGTGACCTGTTCTTTTTATTATTACCATCTCTCTAATACCTAGGAAGGGAAAGGTAATGGGGGGGATTGCTCTCAGGAATCACAGCAGAGGACAGCTCACTAGTGTCCTCYGGTGTACCAGCTCTCATAACTTTATCAGCTTAAGAAAAWAAAATAATACTTAAAAAAAGAGGAAATCTGGAAAGATCTGACTCACTCTGGCACTGGGGCACAGTAGATCCAGTAGCCTTGCTGCAGTTTCAGCTCAGCTCTCCAGCTCAGAAGCAGGACAGCCACAGAAGATGTGTGAGGCAGGATGTGAGATGCTGCAGGATGTGGGATGATGCAGGATATGAGATGTGGGATGTGGGATGCAGGATGTGGGATGCAGGCTGGCTGGCCTGGTGTGCAGCGCTGGCCAAGGTGGCTCAGGGAAATGGGGAGCTGGGCTGCTGTGTAGGGTGTTATCTGGGAGGGTGTGCCTCCAGCTCCTGGCCTTGGAGGGATTTGTGAGCAGATCTGAGGCTGGGTTTGGGTGGCTCTGCTCCCTTCTCATGCAGAGAAGCCACAAGCACAGCACAGAGAGGATGGTGAGAATGCTGCAGAGCATCTTTCCTTTTCCTCCTCAGGGATGAAGAAGCATATTTTAATGAATCCTACAAGTCATGAGGGGAACAGTGACTGGATAGGATGAAGAAGGAGCAGTCAGGCTTTTCCATCCCAGGGCCAGGAGCATTCCTGTGTTGGACGATCCAGCTGGGGAAGCAGCAGTGCAGCTTTTCCTGTACCCCCAGTTCAGTCCACCCACAAAAAATAGATCAGAGGTTACCTGCCCCAGCTATACACCACACCCATCACCTCCTCTGGGCTTTTGGAGCATGCAGTCAAACCAGCTACCAGCTCCTAAAACCTCTGAAAATGCASATTACCCAGACAACCTGTGTCAGGGCTTTAGAATTAGGCAGTGCTTGATGCTGTATAACCTTCATCTATCTAAATGCAATTTAGCAGTTGCCATTTATTTACATGAGGACTGTTATGCCAAGTTCCCCTCGTCTGATATCCTTTAACCTACTCTTTCAGTGGGTCCATCATGGTTTCAGCCTTTGCTCTGGCTCATTAGGTGTTCTTGCTTTAATATTTCACACTGGAATGCCAAGGTTCATCCACTCCTCTTTAGATGGCATTTTTTTCAAATCTTGCCTTTAAAAGAAAATTGCATCCAATATGGAGATGTACATCATTTGCTTCAGGTAATTTCAGCTATTTTGATTAAAAATTTTCTCATTTTGCACTTTAGAGTATGTAAGCTTGGAGTAGATGTAGTTGCTTTTATACATAAATCTCCAAACAGGGTTGAAGGACACAGTCTCATTTCATCTGGTGAAGAAGCAAGTGAAAAATTTCTGAGAAATATTTGTATTTATGCATTTAAGTATGATGCTTGCTCTGATTGCCAACAGCAGAATATTATTGATTCATATTACCTTTTCTGTATTTCCCTACAGAATACCCACTGGTAAGATTGCTGCCCATCAGCCATTTCCTCCCTTGCTTTTGTGCAATACCTCTGCCTGCTCTTGTGCTTATGGACTCACATCCCATTCACTGCAGCAGTTCTTCAATTTATGGTTTTGTATCCTGACGTGGCCCTCCGAAGAGCTTCTGGGTGTCTCACRGTTTCATAACTTTTTACATTTTGAAAAGCACACTCTATCTCTCTCCATTGCATAATTCTGATTTCAGCTCCAGAGCTGCACCTCGTGCCCGAAGAGGGGACAGGCAGCTGGAGCAAGTGGATTTTCTCCTGGGTTATCCCAGCACATCCCTGCAAAMCAGCCTCTGCAGGTGGGAGCTGTAKGAAGCCAGCTGCTGTCTTACTGCACAGCAGCCTTCTCTCAGTCCTGGAACTGCAGTTGACATCACTGTGATGGGGACTGCAACAGCAGCTTTTGGGATTTCACACTTTGATGTGTGATATTCTATCCCAATAATGATTCSTGCAGAGGCAGAGGACAGCTCAYTAATGTYCTYCRGTGTACCAACTCTCATAACTTTAYCAGCTWAAGAAAATCAAATAATACTAAAAAAAAGAGAGAAACCACCCACCTCAACTCACTTTCTAACTATCAGAATTTTGACTGAATGTTGCTTATTGCCCCCCTGTTAAAGACTTGCCCGTGGAAGGATGTGGTGGCTGTGGCTTGAGACCCACAGGCAGTTTTCTGGCCTGTCCAGGTTTGTCTCTTGCTGCTCATGGGCTTCCCCTCCATCTTCCATTTCTAAAGGGGTTTTACAATGCATTTGTGACGAAGCAGGCAAGCACCAGCCATACAAACAACACAGCCACTGTTGCAGGAAAAATTATTCRTTTATTAAGACAAAAATTGCAGAGTATTTTGCAGTTTGGGAAGAATTTCAGAGCCCAAACTGGAATCAGTGCTTACAATGAAACAGAGACCCACTGAGTGTGAGAACTGACACAGAGGTCTGCCACAGGCTGTCCCCACTGCAGGAGGAGGGCTGACCTCTAGGCACTGAGGAAGGTGCTGACGACGGAGCAGGGCTGGAAATGGTCACAAATTTGGCCAGGACACAAGTGTGAAGGCAGGATTTGGTAAGAAGGAAGCTGGCAGGACCTGCAGATGTTCCAGGCAAGCCCTTATGGCAGTGCAAGGGGACAGACAGCATGGCCATGCCCAGCTGCTCYGAGATCAGTGCCCTGGAGCAGACGGCAGTGGGTCTGTGCAAGATCACCCTGAAAAGGGCTTTCAGCTGGCGGATGAAGCACAGAAATTGAGATTCCTCATCCCCAAATCCTGCCCTGCATTTCTGCCCCAGAGAAACGCTGTCCCGTCATCTGCTTGGTCCCTCCCTCTGGTGAAGGCAGGAAGATTTCCAGCATCAGCGGATTTTCTTTAAATAGAGGTGAATCCCGTTCTTGGAGCGAAGGATGATCCGAGTTATTTTGAGGGGAGGCCTGGCGGGGTCGGGCAAGAGCTCGAAGCGCCGCAGGGTCAGAGCCAGTGCCACCTTCATCTCATTCATGGCAAACTGCTGCCCRATGCAATTCCTGCAGGGAAACGGAGCAGCTCAGCCAATTCCATCCCAGGGATGGGCACAGCAAATCCCCACAGCCCATCCCAGTCCTCCCACACCAGCACACAACCTCCCCTAGCAGTTCAGGGGGCCCAGGCTGTGCTTTGGGCAGCAAAACCAGGGGCATGGGCTGAGCAGGGGGAATTTAGAGGAACATTGGGAGCCCATGAATGCGTGTTCAATGAGCATGGAGGAGGAGGGAGATGGGGAAGCCAAAGGAGAGGCCAGCAGGGATGAGGTGGTGGATCTCCAAACAGTCTGCAAGCTGTTTGCCTTGAAGGAGTGAGAACAGGGAAGGATTGGGAGGAGGAGAGAAGGGGGAATTAAAGGGCAGGAGGGTGGGATGGGGTCTTTGCATCAAGGAGAGGAGGAGAGCAGGCAAGCTCAGGATGTTGCAGGCTCCCCACAGGATGCCAGCAGGATGCTCCACAGCTTTGGGACCCAGTTCCCTGACCCCAGAAGGGGCTCAGCAATGCTGCCTTCTCATTTTGTTTGCTGATATCAGAACCTCTTTGCAGCACAGTTGGTTTATCCTCATTTAACTCTTCAACTATTCAATGCTGCAGGACTGCAGATGGTGGTCTCTGCCCACTACTCCTCCAGTGTTCAATTCCCTTTACCTCGTTCCAGCAGAAAAAGGCAGAAAGGCATGAGAGTGCCTGCCAGAGACATTCTCCGAGGAAAAACGCAAAGGGTCGAACACCTGGAAATGAAGAATATGCAGCAAGAAAAAGTAATTATTTAAGGAAAACAGTATCTTCAGAAATGTGGCACCCCTCAAATTATGAACCCCACAGGAAAGAGAATTCTCTCCTGATAACAGGCAAAGGGGACATGGGAAGACATCATAAAGGGGAAGAATTATTAGAGGAGCAAAAGAAAACTCACCAGAGGATCTTTCCACACTAAAGGGTTTCTGTGAATGAGGTATATGCTTATGGCAGTGATGGTGCCTGGAAAACAATTGAGGAGGAGAAAAGGGCTCAGTGGCAGAGAAAGAAGCCAACATCAGCACAGCCCTGCCTGAACATCTGTGCCAGCGAGGATGCAGCTGGTGCCTGGAGCACGGCTCTGTGAGGCAGGAATGGGATTGACAGACCTTCGGGCAAAGTGCGTCCATCRGGGAAGGTGACGGGCTTGCTGAGCTGCCGGCCCACCCCGGGCACGGGCGGGTACAGGCGCAGGCTCTCCTTGATGCACATGGTGCTGTAGGTCATCTTGCCCAGGTCCTCCCTGTCGGGACAGGCAGGATGAGCCCCCGCTCCCCTCACTGCCAGGGCTGGGAGATCCCTTCACCCACAGCCATCAGCCCGTGAGCAATTCCCCTGCAGCAGGCAGTGTGAGCAGAGGGAGCCACAGTGTCCAGCCACAGGCTGTTGGAGGCTGGGCACGCCAGGACACCTCTGAACAACCTCTGAACAACCTTTGAAACAACCTCTGAACAAGCTCTGAACAACCTCTGAACAAGCTCTGAACAAGCTCAAGTGCAAAGTGACAGCGAAAGAGGAAAAGCTGTGACTGTAATTTCCCGCAGTGAGAAAACAGGAGAGAGCAAAGAGCAATGCTGTGGCCCAGGGTTTGGTATGGCACCCAGAATGTCCCTTCCAGGGGGGCAGACTGAGCGGAAGGATCTGCTCCATCCCATGAAKTCCCTGTGCATGCAGCAACCTTCAGCAACCCAGCTTTTGGGCCTCGAAGACTTTGCTCACTTAGAAATGGCAGCAATAGGAAAAAGGTTACCAGCAGAGGAACTGAGCAGCCTTACCACTGAATTGTCTCCCTGTCCCCCAGGATGCCCTGGATCTCCTCCCTGCAGCGCTGCTGGTGCTCAGGGTGGATGGCCAGGCAGTACAGGAGCCAGGAGATGCCACTGGCTGTTGTGTCGTGGCCCTCAAACATGAAGGTGTCCACCTCGGCACGCAGGTCCTCGTCAGACAGGGCAGCTCCATTCTCATCCTAACAGCCCAGAGACACTCTCAGTGCCATATAGATATAAAATTTATATAGATGTTACAGTAACACACACACACACATATAAATATGAAAATGTATAAATATCCCAGTAGAGGGCATTATATTCTTTCAGTTACTGCAAAAGGGGCGTGATGATCCTGTGGGMTACATATAAACAAAATCAGTGTTTGTTTACTCTGGATTCAGGGCCTCTTTCTCTTCACTTTTAAATCTCTTTATGCCCCCCATATTAAACCATCAGGACTATGACATCCCTGTGAATGTTGTATACCCAAAAAGACACTGCCAACCTTTCAGCAATGGRAAATTGGATCACCTTGGCTCCTCTTCAACTGAGCAGGACTAGGTTAAATTTTTTTAAATGGCTTGTGCAGTCCTGAGGGTCTCTGGTGGTTCATTGCACCCCTGCAAAGTCTGACTGGCTGTTTGCAGGGGTGCCCTACCACACACACACACACACACACACACACAGACTCCTTGCCACTCACTTTGGCACACAGCAGAATGTCCAAGAAGTCCAAGTGTCTCTTCTTCTGGATCTTTTCAAATTCCCGTTCATCTCGAAGGGATTCCTTTCGCTCCTGGATGACCTTGTCTGGGGGAGAAAGGRTTAAAGTCCATGAAGCATTTAATTGTGCTTCTGTATTCCAGACACCTCAGCTTTTGCAGCAGCACAGCAGCAAAAGCCACGGATATTGCCACCTTTTCCTGAAAACTTCTTTGTCCACCATGGACCTCTCAGTCTATTTTACACACCCCTTGTGCATTAAAATCACACSTGSCTYGGAAAAKAARAYAATTCCTTGCATTGRTGYTGCCTGCAGCACCCATCTCTGGTCYCACCASTCYCTGGCCATTTTACAGGAGTGTTTCCAGAGAGGAATTCCTCCATCAGTCCAGTTTAATAACCCAAGAGCTGTGAGATTCCTTTGCCTCAAGCCTAGATCAGACCACTACTGATGCTCTGCTTGGATCCCAGCCCTGAGCCTCTGRCCAGGATCGCTGCACAGGCAAGAAGACTACTTTTGTCCAAAGTTTTAGGAAGAGCCTGACAGCAGGGAATACCTGTGTGGTCATGAGCAAGCCTGCAGGCCTTCCTGAACYGAAATCCATGGGGGCTGAGCCAGTAGATGATGTCATTGTGGTAGGGGAAGATGCGGAGGCGCTGGTGCACCATGTGGCACAGGTCATAGACAGCCTGGATGTAGGTGTTTTTCCTGGGGAGAGGGGAATAGGGGAAGTGAGTTTGGGGGCACTGTGACAAGCAATTTGCCCATTTCCCTTCTGAGCTGCAAACTTCCTGACAGGGTTTGGGGCAGGCAGCACTGACCTGTTGGTCTGGCAGTTGCTGTGACARCTGAAGGCACATTTCATGATGCTATCCAGAGTCATCAAGCTGACGTGCTCGAAGAGCTCCACWGGCTTCCCATCTGCAGTCAGCTTTTCCCATTTATCCTAGAGCACAAGGGAGACAGGAAAGAGAAGGCAAGGGTCAGTTCTGCACGATCTGCAGTCACTTTCTGGTGAAATGAGTGCCCAGATAGAGATACATCTCAGAGAAATGGGAAAAAAGGGGATCTCTTAGTTGCCATCAAAATCATAGAGAAAAACCATGAGAGGGTGGTTAATACAAGGCAGCTGCTGTTCTTGGGTCCTGTGGGTGGTGAGCCCTGCTTCACCCTATCCTGAGGCAAGGGCACCCTGGAGAAGCGCAGAACAGGAGCATTCCTGGGTGATGGGGAGTTACCTAAGTCTTTCTTAGGATGCAGGGTGTTTTCTGTAYAGGAGCAGTATATGCTGGCACTGGGCTGCACTGGGTCTGTTCTTGAACACATATAAGCTTGGAGCCCAAGATGCAAACTTTGGACTGACATTTTTTTCTCTGAGCCAGTGTGTTTTCCCAGCATGTCATACAGGAGCTCTTGCTGAACTCTCATCCCTAGAGAAATTATAAATCCCATTTCTCTTCCTAAGCACACACGAAGTGATGTTGAATCCTCCGTCCCCTCATGGCTGTAAGGAACCAGTGGACTTCAAAACTGAGAAAGGGAGGAGAGAGAGGAGCACGGTCACGTCTGAGCTCCCACAGTGCCAAACCAGGCTCACAGGGACAGATGCGTGTCCGTAGCACATACAACCATTGCCACCTGGTGGCCCAGGCTCCCACAACTTTTCCCATTGGTGCTTGCGTTGCGCACGAGGAATTCCAAATTCCCAGGCCCTCGTAAGCATTGGAAAAGCTTCTCCAGCCCCCGGCTCCTGGCTGCTCCCTGGGCCAGTAGGAGCGATCCAGGATCCGTTTGAAGCTGCCGGGGAGTGAGAGAGGTGAAGAAGGGATAGATCCAGCACTCAGACTCCTGGCTGCTCACATGCACAAAGCCTGGTGCCCTTCCCCTGTAATTCCTACTGGTTTCCATCCTGCCCAGCACCAGTGGAAGGAAGAACAGTGCATTTGCAGAGTTTGTGAGGCATGCAGGGATTGCAATCCAGTCATGGGTATATGGACAGCAAATAATACCCTTTAACCTTCGGTCACAGTGTAGGTCTGCTCCAACCTTTATTTTTTTGGGATTTATAGTGAACCTTTATTCACTTCAATTCTTCATTTAGAGAAATAGCTTATAAGAAGTTGCTGTTGGAGCTGAGATCATGCACAGTTTGGGGACAGCAGTAACACTGATCCTKAAATCTCACAGATCCCAAGGCAATACCAGAGACATCATCACTGCAGGGAAGCTCAACCTGCTCATCCCTTCCAAGGGATGCTCATCCCTTCAAAGGCAGGGATTTGGGGAGACTCTGAAAGATTGACCAACAGGACACAGCATGTCCTTACAATGACCAGGTAAAGAAAACCCAGCATTTRCCTCCTAACCAGACAGGATGGGGAAAAGAAAATGGGGCAGAGACAGGAGCATCCCGAGTCCTACCAGCATCACGTTAGTGGAGTCTGCCATCAGGCCCACGTATGGCTTCAGGACATCGTAATGAAACCCTGGAGTCAGSAGTTTTCGGTGTTGGTGCCACTTGGGCCCATGTAGGATCAGCAACCCGTTCCCTGGGGAGACACAGGCAAGGCATGGTTTGGTGAGCACAACCAGGCTGCTTTCACCTGCCTGCAGACACAGGATTCAATCTGCTGTCTGAGCTGCTGCCAGAGGGCACTTCCAAAAGCTGCCATCAGTTCCAGGGTTCCCAGAGCTAAGCAAAGCCCGCTCAGTGAAACGGCACAATGGTCATCAAGAAACACCAAATGTGCTAGAGCAGAGARGTTCAGAACAGCAGATGTATTTTTCACCAGTTCTCCATGAATCTAAGCTTCTCTCATCATCACCTTTTGCTATCCACATGTAAGTGGTTCTCGTTGTACATACGTCTGAACTCTCCTTCAAAATAAACAGAACTACTTGGCAACTTTTTCAATAAATGTAAYGATTTCAGGAAGCTTTTAGCAATAGCTCCATTAAGGAACAAGTACAATGTTGTTTATTTACAGCATGGTTTTGACTAACTTCAGAATCATTCCTGGTAGGCAAAGCCCTGAGAATACATACCAATCCATGGGACAAGGTGTTTATAGCTCAAGTTATCCTTGGGATCTGTAAGAAAATAAAATTATAAATGTTTCAATAGAATGAACCCATTTGTTTGCAGCTGAAAGCTCCCTCTCACTTTTAGTTGGGTATGAAGCAAAATCGGTGGCATCCGTGCAGAACCCCCAGTATTTCACAACAAAAAAACCTCTGCTAGCTAGCTCTGCTAGCTCAATAAACACATATAAAAGCAGATGCCCACACTGGAAAAAACAAGAATAACGCTAGTCCAAAGTCTGAGCAGTGTGATAAATGATTAAGCCTCTCAGACACCACAACTCAGCACCTTTTCTTCTTGATGCAYTGAAGATATTTCTCTGCAGTAGGGGCCAGAGCTCCAAGCTGAGAGAAAACATCCCAGGTGTCTCCTCCTTGCTGGGATCAGACACTGAGCAGTTAACTTTTCAAGGAGCACTTGAGGAAATCTGATTTTCCAGCAATGGATTTGGAGTCAGGTCAGCCCGGCACCTTATGCCTGAAGCACCCAGGGCACAGCAAGAAAGAAGGGTATCTCTCTRTGCCTTTAGGTGATTTTTTTACAACAAAACCTCTCTGTGAAACCCTGCCTTGCCTTGTAAATTTTGAGGCTGGCATGGGAAATCTGCAGGCTACGGTTGCTGCTCCACAGCTGAAAACATAATCTCTCACCTCCTCTGCCCAAGAGAATCTTGACATAGTCGGGATTTGTGACAACCAGGAATGCTGAGAAACTCCCAAACCACACAGGGTGAGCATGTGGGTACTTCTGTGTCCAGAGCTCTGCCTTGTCCAGCACYTCTTCCTCCTTGAGAAACTATTTGTGGAGAAGTGAAAAGAGAAAGAATACATAGACTTGGAAAGAAAAGAAAAATCTACCAATACACTATCTTAAAAGTTCAAGGTCTTTCTGATCACAAAACCACATAAGGACAAACAAGATGTTCCTCTGTGTTTGCAGAGCATGGGGAGTAGAGATGTTTGCYACTTTTAAAGCTCATATAAAATAATCCTTCCTTATCACTTTATCTTAAGATAAAGAACATCCTTGGGCACTGGTATCCTCCAGACATTTAGGTGAAGGCCAGTGTCCAGGCAAAACTCAACAGAACGAGTCCAAAGTCACYAATGGACTGCACAGCACAGGGAATGCTGGTTAATAACATTGCATTAAGAATTCACTGATTTCCCAGAGTTGAATTTTATAGGCAATGAAGAGCTGGTGATCACAGARGGATTTATCTCCAGCCCTTGGAAGCTGCAATCTGAGGAGCAGCATGAGAACCAGTGTTCATATCAACAATGGCAGGTTCACTCCAAAGTGATCACTGCTTTGTTGCTTTTAAGTTATGTACAGGAAATAGATAAAGAACACGTGGAAAGATTGGTGGAAAGATCCACAGTCACAGGCAGAGGAAAAAAAAATCACAGAGAAAAAAACATGTAAGAATTCTTTTTTCTTTGAACAGAAACTACTCTGAGCCAATATGCAGGGGGAAGGATTTCGGTGAGCTAGGTCTGACATAGCTGCTGCTGCTTTGACTTGAAGCTTGAAGATTAATTAAATCAGCGTACTGGTGCAGAAATCAGCCTCAAAGTCACCTTACTGACTGTATGAAGTGAGCATTTGCTCAGTTGCTTTAGTGCTGAGTTAGCTCAGCTCAACTTTTAGCCTGGCTGGTGTTTCTCAACCCAGGATGTGGCTCATGTTCAGATAATCACCCACATCAAATAATCAGCCACGTGTGGGTTGTCTCGGARAGGATATTCAGGAGTCATGGGGTGTCCATCAGGGGACTGCACAGGCCATGTGGGGGCATGTCCAGGTTCAGCTCMAAGGCTGAGCTCCCCCTTCCTCATGAGCTGGGGGGGGTGTCTGCAGCCCATCTTTTGTGTCTCCCACATTCCAGAGAATGATTGACTACATCCAGCTATTACAGAAAGCTCACCTTCAACCTTCCCTCACTCAAGTTCAAGATTTTGAGCTTAGTACTCTGATTTTACAGATCAAGTTTTGGGGCAAAAGGAGGCAGCCCTCTTCACCACCCACCCCTTCGTCAAAGCCATCAGAAGCAAGGCTTGGCATGGTGCCTTTAGCCAAGTGACATTTGAACTTGTGAAAGCCCCTTTGATACAGCTATTTGTGCTTTTCCTGTCATGAATCACAGAAAGCATAAATGGAAGTAACTGGGAGATGCTGAGCAAGTCTCGCTGGCAGAAGTCCTAATGGCTTTGCATCCAACTTTGTTTTGAAGTACCAGCCTTGGCTTGTGCTATCAAGAACCATCCCTGCGCTGGCAGAGGGCTGAATGTGTTTATTTGAGAGGAGAGATTACACTCAGGGTGAGTAACCTGCTGTACCAAGCTCTCCTGGAGCAGAGGGTGTAAAGTTCTATGAGCTGCAGAGGAATAGAAAGCTCCCACTCCTGAATCAGGGTCCAGCTACCAAGCTCGACATGAAAGACTATTTCTTCTAGTCTTTCCTCCCCTGGGGGCTTGAAAAGAAAAGTATAACCACCACTTCARTCTAAGAAAGAAAGGTAATTGCCTGATCTTATGCTGAAATGCAAGTTTTGAAATGGATCCAACACTAAAAGCATTTGGGAAGTGGCTTAAGGGCAGTTTTAATGACTACAGACTGATAGCAAATGAAAGAGAAAACACAGGAGCTGAAATCTGAGCGTGAGGCTGTGCTGTGTGCAGCCACAGCCAGGCTGGCTCCTCCCCACACCGAGCAGGAGTGGGCAAAGGGCTGCCGAGGGACCGAGACCCTCCCTGCACCACCTCCCACCAACCCCGGCCTTGGGAAAGTCAATTTGGACAGCTCAAGGCTGCCACTCTGGGTTTTAACTAAGCYGTGCTGCTGCAGTGAGACTGAACAGCTCCACACAGCCTCTTCCTGATGTTTAAATATCATTTCTACTGAGTGATTTGGATAAGCAGAGACTAATACCCAGACTATGCTTTAAAACAAGTGATATATTCTCCCAGGAGATCTACCCAGAGCATGCCAAATATATATGAAATTCTAAACTGGCCTGGATCAAAACTGGCAAATAATCAGTTAAATCAACAGAACAGGAAATGTCAGCGCTCTCCCTGACAGCTCACAGGTTCCCCTCGAGGTGTTTGCAAACTTTGTATTCAGTGTGCGCCCAGAGCATTGCCGGTTTCTTTGCTGGCTCGATGAACTGGTATGCTTTGGGGAATTCAGCAGCATTAATCAGCAAATGATTAAATCTTYGAGAAAGAAATTCTCCAAAAAGCATTGTCTGAGGTAAAAATTTAGCCAYGAGCAACCTAGTCATGATGACAGCGAGTGATTGGCACAAAAGGTTAAATCCCCTTCCAGGACAAAYAGTCACAACTAACAGGAGAACATACCTTATTTAATTGCAGTTTTAAAGTCTAACTGGCAGTGTAACAAAGCCCTGAACTGGCCCATCTTCATGCTTACATTGCCAAAAGACTGCTTGTCCCGTCCAGCACAAACTGGCGCTGCCACAGCACTGAGACAAGCCCTGGGAGGTCTCTTCCTAACTTCCCAGACAATTTTCAGGATGCCAGTTATTTAATGTGCCACAAATTTGGCCACGGCGGGACATCAGCAGAGCCCAGCAGAGGGCAAGGAGATTTTAAGCGTCCTTAAGCATGTATGGAAAAGCCTTTTGCATCAGGCAAGCTCAGTTACTCGTAGTGAAGCTGCTGATGAGTTGCCATAATCTGTTTGCCAAGGCAGCCATGACGATCTGTGTGGGCAAATGCATACCTCGGGGAATAGTCATCCTTGCCACCCACCCTCACCCCTCTGGTGGTGACCAGAACAAGGCTTGCCTGTGTACGTGGGTTTTGTTACTCATGACCTTAATGCAAATGTAAGAAGATCCGCGGTCCCTGCGCTGGATGCAATGCCTGTGATGTGTTTTGCGGCTCAAACGTGCCCACAATAATCAGCGTCTGGTTGACCTGGCCGTGAGGCCGATGCAAGCTGGCAGGGGAGAGAAAATGCCCCTGGATGCCGGGAGCAGCGAGCATCTGCTCAKCATCTCAGCAGCTCAGCGCCGCAGGGAGAGCTGCAGCGGCCCTGCCCTGGCTTTCCGAGAGCAGAGAGGTGACAGAGGAGCCTGTCCCGGGACAGAGCAGGGCGGCTCTGCTGCCTCCAGCACCAATACCCACTCGCACCCCGCAATGACCTTGCCCACGCCACGCTGTATTACCGCTTTCTTTACTTGCGAGCCAGCCACCACCCTTTTCYATCGTGCATTCTGCAGCAGCCTGTAAGGGCTTTGCGTGAGCCACGCTCTCTCCAAGCATCACACACAGGGAAAGCACACTGGTCCGGCTGAGGAAAGGGATACATGCCCACCTCTCACCCAGCCCGCGGACTGGGAGCAGCAATTCTCCTGGGCCACAAGGACAAGTCCCTCCAGCATCATTCCCACACGCCCCTCAGGAAAACTGTTCCCCGCACTCCCCCTCGCTCCCGGCRGCGCAGACCCGGCTTCTCCCCCACCTCGTGGACGTGGCCCAAGAGCCAGTGGGTCGGGTGCCCGGGGAAGTCGGCCAGCGCCCGGAGCAGCTCCCGCCGCCGGTGGAACAGCTGGATGGCTTTCAGCAGCACGCAGGTCAGGCAGAACACGGCGGCCAGGTGCAGCACCCTGGAGACATCCACGCCCAGCCACAGGAGCTTCATGGTCCCGGGGAGAGCCGCCGGCGGCTGCCTCCGGTGTCCCGCAGCGCCCCGGCGGCACCGGCAGCGGCAGCCAATGCGGGGCGGAGGGGCAGGTCCAGAGTCCGAGCGGCTGCCAAATCACGGCAGCGCTTGTTGGGAGGGAAGGGAAAGRAAGGGAAGGAGAGCATCCCGCGGGAACGCTCCGCTCGCCTCCGCACCTGCCGCCCGCCCCGAGTCCCCGCCGCCGGCACMGCCTGGCCCTGCGCCGGGACCGCAGGCTGAGGAGAGAGGGAWAGACCGTACCCTGGGATTCCTCCTCCCGAAGTGCTCATCACACACTCCTGCCTYACGAGGTTCTACCCTCATTTCCACCCATTCCCATCCCGCATCCCGGCTGACAGCTCCTGCCCTCCTTCCCCGTCTCCCTCCCCGCTGCCGGCACCGTGCGCCGCATCCCAGCGCCGACCGGGACAGCATCTCCCGGCAGGCGGGGCATCCCGCACCGCACCGGGCTGGCGATGCTGGGTGCCAGCCGAGGGCTGGGTACTGTGGCAACTTTGGCACGGCTTTGGCACGGCTTGGTGGCAAGCAGAGGGCAGGCAGCTGCCGGGTACCACCGCTTCCCTGCCACCGCTGTCTCAGCGAGCAGCAGCCCCCTCTAAGCCTGGTGGGCGAGGG